TGCTGAGACAAACACATACTTCAACATACAAGTCAAAATACAATTAAAAATGGGAAAGAAATTTGTTTCAAGAAAATAAGCTTAAATTGATGATGTGCAAATAACAGCTCAACAAAGTGATTCTTAGAACAATTAACATTATAGACTGTCAAAACTATTCAGCGCAAAGTAACAAACACAGCACATGGCAGGCCAGCAAAGACTGGACCTACGAGAACACTGCACAAATCAAACTGGAAGGCAAATCAAAATGCAACCTGACATGTCTTTTGTTCTTTCTCCCTTCAGTAAATCTACTTTAAATGCTTCCCATGTGCCCTTTTTGTAGGCTTATCATCTGAAAGGATCACAGAAAATTAGGAGAAAAGGATCTGTTACAAATGTTGAAGAGGAGCGGGGACTTGGGTCTCAGAAATCTTACAGAGGAACAATAGGAGAGAGAGCTATAATTGTCCTGTACGTTCTGTTGGCTACAGTCTTCGAGTTACATATTTGCTTTAAAATAATTTGCCCCTGAGCAAATAGATCAAGTACCATATATGACTTTGGTACAAGTTCTTGAAAGTCACCTCAAAGTAACAAATACAGCCAGCTCTCATCAAACATGGGAGAACAAGCACAGAGAATACTATAAACTGTCGGTGTGTGTTTCTGTCAAAGAGTGTTGTTGTTGTTTACTCGTTAAGACGTGTCCGACTTTTTGTGACCTCATGGACCAGAGCATGCCAGGCCCTCCTGTCTTCCACTGCCTCCTGGAGTTGGGTCAAATTCATGTTGGTAGCTCTGATGACACTGTCCATCCATCTCGTCTTCTGTCGTACCCTTCTCCTCTTGCTTCCCCACTCTCCTAGCATCAGCATCTTTTCCAGGGAGTCTTCTCATGAGATGACTAAAGGATAGGTTTGTTCTCCTTGCAGTCCAGGGGACTCTCAAGAGCCTCCTCCAGCACCACGATTCTAAAGCATCAATTCTTTGGCGGTCAGCCTTCTTTATGGTCCAGCTCTCACATCCATACATTGCTACTGGAAAAACCATAGCTTTGACTATGCGGACCTTTGTCAGCATCTGAACTAATCATGGAGCCCAAGAAAGTAAAATCTGTCACTGCCTCCATATCTTCCCCTTCCATTTGCCAGAAGGTGATGGGACCAGTGGCCATGATCTTAGTTTTTTAGATGTTGAGCTTCAGACCAATTTTTGCACTCTCCTCTTTCACCCTCATTAAGAGATTCTTTAATTCCTCCTTACTTTCTGCCATCAGAGTGGTATCATCTGCATATCGAAGGTTGTTGATATTTCTTCCGGCAATCTTAATTCCGGTTTGGGATTCATCCAGTCCAGCCTTTCGCATCATGTATTCTGCATATATGCAGGGAGACAATGTACAGCCTTGTCGTACTCATTTCCCAATTTTGAACCAATCAGTGTTTCCATATCCAGTTCTAACTGTTGCTTCCTGTCCCACATATCGGTTTCTCAGGAGATAGATAAGGTGGTCAGGCACTCCCATTTCTTTAAGAACTTGCCATAGTTTGCTGTGGTCCACACAGTCAAAGGCTTTGCGTAGTCAATGAAGCAGAAGTAGATGTTTTTCTGGAACTCTCTGGCTTTCTCCATAATCCAGTGCATGTGAGTAATTTGGTCTCTGGTTCCTCTGCCCCTTCGAAATCCAACTTACACTTCTGGGAGTTCTCGGTCCACATACTGCTGAAGCCTACCTTGTAGGATTTTGAGCATAATCTTGCTAGCATGTGAAATGAGTGCAAAAAGTAATCAAGTTTAATTTCAAAGTAATGTAACTTTACCAGTTTATGGAAATCTGTATGTCACATTCCAAATGCTTTAAAGAATTAAAATCACAGCTGTTTCTCCTACTAGGAAAGCAGTAGCTCACAGTCTAAGAATAACATTGAAAGGGCTTCCTTCCTGCTCCTTGTTTTTCTTCATAATAGGAGGATTTCTCCTTAAAGATGAAACCTCACTATTCTACATGTCATGTCTAGCCAACCATTGTATGCCTCTCAAGCTATCTACCTGCAGATACACAAAGTGGCACAGCAGAAACTGTCTGAATCAGTAACTGGAGAAAATAGTGATAATACAGTACAGTATCATATACATCAGGATAAGTAGCTCTGTATTTCTGCCAGCAACAGTAGAAAAAATAGGCATAGGGCTTTTTAGCTATTTGTCCTGCAGCAGCAGCAGAATTAAAATAATCACGTTATTTTCCTTGTCTGAATAAGCAAGACTCAGTAAGATCTTACGTATGAACATGTTCTCAACTTCTGAGTCATACCTGCCTATTATTCATTTTCAGACCAAATTTAACTACTGCTTGGTTGTCTCTGGATTTGCGCATGTAATGGCACATTTTGCATAAGTGATTAAATAAGCATGGTTTGAGCAGTTAAATATAACTCATATTTCATCAACTTCTATAGCTTTCACTGCAATCCTTCACCCATCTATCTGAGAGGTCAAACTGAATTCACTGGCAATTATCAGCCAATTCCAACCTTTCATTCAGGTTTCCTACTTAGTACCTAGAGCTACTTTGTCCCCTAATTCCCCTACCCATAGTAGCTACTCAGCCAAACAAACAGAGCTATTGCTTGGCTCTGCCCTAACATTTTGAGTGCCCATGACAGAGATGAATTTATGTAACTAGCAGAATGTAAAAGGAGTATACAATTTCTTAGACAATTCAGCAATTTATTAATAATAAAAGCCACACATCATAAAGCCAATTTGACGTCTAGAGTAAAATGTATTTCTACATATCCATTTTGGTTTAGTTCCATTAATGCTAATTGAAGTATATTGGGTGCAAATAATTGCTTACATGACTGTTTATGTAACAGCTCCTTACTGGTGTTACAGGAACAGTTTAATTCAGTGGTTTTAACTTACAGTCCTTTAACAACAGAGGCCAAACCTTCCTAAAAGAATCTATTGTTGCCTATTAGCTGATATTCAGTGTACATTGTTGCTGGGAAATAAACCATATGGAATCATGATTTTATAACTAAGTGCATTTTACTAAAGTGTTTGTGTATATTTTCCTATTGGAGTCAAATAAATGGATAGTTTTCAATTAATATTCTCCAAACTACGCATATTATAGATCACCATATCCTACTATTAATCAGGTTTCTCATATTAAACAAACAAATGGGCAATTATTACCTTACATTTGTTCAAGTTAGCAAAATACGTTTTGCACAACACATTATCCACACATATATGTTAAAATCCATTTTTCTTAATATCATACCAAGATTTTCTCTAAAATAGTCATGAGTCTTGATTCAACTTATCAATATATCAATCAGAAAGGCAACAAATGTAATTTCTGATATTCCACAAAAAACAAAAACCAGAAGTGTATTTCCAAGCATTTTCTTGGAAATAAATTGAGAGGGATTAAAAATCTAAAAAATAGTAATTTATATTATTTAGCAAATGAACTTCATAAATTGTATATTTCTTTTAACATGTTCAACAATATCAGATTAACTTTTTGTTTAAATGGTTTAACACTATTGTGTTGGTACTAATATTAATGGCCAGTATCCTAATGCTAGATTCCACTAAGTGTAGAACAAATGAATCAATTGCTGGGGTAAATCAACACTTACATAAATCCTACTGAGTCAACTGGCCTAATTCTAGCTAAGACTAGTAATAAGATGTTGGTCAATGTTTCCAAAGCCTGGAACCCCGTTCATGAGAAAAGACCAACTATTTGCACCAGGTATTTTGAGTGGTAACATTAGAACTGTACATTTGGAAACATCTGTTCTGAATACCTCTTGGAACACATAGCTTTTATTTGTTATTGATCCTGTCTTTCATTGATACAATATTTATATATATACATTGTAGCAAAGCAGAATACAAATGCTAATTATAATACAGTATCAGAATAAGTGTTTGTCAGTCCAAGAGAGAAAGGCAGCAAGGGTCAAGGGGACAGATTTTAATGAGTCCAAGATGAAAGCTCCCCTCCATTTTTTTTAAACTGTCCGGACCAGGTCTCCGTTTTCTTAATCATTCATTTCAAACATTTATACATAACTTGATGCAATATAATTCCCAAACAATATGCACTAAAAATAAAAAAGACAGTGCGCTTTAAACGTTTAAAATAATAAACATAATTAATCATGGAGATAACATGGTTAAAATGATTTTGAGATTGCAGGAATGGGGGGGCGACAAATTTCAATATTCCTCTGTTAAAGTTCCTTGCAGTTAGAAATCCAGCCCTACTGGGAAAGATATTGGCTACATTCATGCCCCGATGTACACATTTCTACGAGTACAGTATTGCCTTGAGGACAAGAAGGGTCAAAGATGGCATCTCACGACTCATTCTGCAGCACGTGTGAATGTAAGATTCCCTGACGCGTGACAACAACCCTCTCGTCCCTCTCCTCCCCCCCTCGACTCCCGCTCAAATTCCAAGTGTACCAAATAACACCCCACAAAACACGCGCTGCCAGTTGACAACCTTCGACAAATCCGGCGCGACTCGTTGGGTGGAAAAGCCAGCCAAGTCACCTCCCATGATGCAGCGCGGCGGCGCAGGCGTGGGGGGAGGGGGCAGATGCCGCTTCTCTTTCCCGCGAATTCAGTTCAAAGGAAGAAGCAGGGGGAGGGGGGGAAAGGAGAGCTCCCAGCGGTGAAGCGCGCGGTCCAACCAAACTCTTTGCAGAATCATTCTGCCGTCACTTCTGGGCGGGACCTCCGCCGGCCAATGAGGCGTTACGGCGCCATCGCTGGAGCCAATGGCCGCGCGCGGGCGGGGGCGGCGCCGTCGTCGTCGGGTTTGGCTGGGCAAGAGAGGGCGCTTGAGGAGAACCGACCCGGGGGGACTTGGAGGAGTTGAAGCGCCTCCACTTCCTCCTCATCGCGACTGGCTCCTGGTCCCCCCTCGGCCTCTTTCCCCCTCGCTGCCTGTTCCCGCCTCCCGCTCCGGCGGCAAGGCCCTCNCAGCGTCTTCGGCGGCCGCCGCTTCGGCTGCGGCCCTCCCCCCGGTGAAAAAGCCGAAGATGGAGCAGATTCAGGCCGACCACGAACTCTTCCTCCAGGCGTTCGAGAGTGAGCCCGGAATGGTTGGGGCCGGGAGGGAGAGCGGGAGGGAGAGCCGAAACTTTGCCATCAGCCTGTCGGTTTCCGCGCCGAAGAGCGAGGGGGGCCTTCGGCGGCCGCCGCTTCGGCTGCGGCCCTCCCCCCGGTGAAAAAGCCGAAGATGGAGCAGATTCAGGCCGACCACGAACTCTTCCTCCAGGCGTTCGAGAGTGAGCCCGGAATGGTTGGGGCCGGGAGGGAGAGCGGGAGGGAGAGCCGAAACTTTGCCATCAGCCTGTCGGTTTCCGCGCCGAAGAGCGAGGGGGGCCGGGAAGAGCGGGGAGGCAAGGAGGGTCGGCGACGCATTGTGGAGCTGGCGGAGCTTTTTCCCCCCCGTGTGCGCGGCATGTGGGGCATCCTCCGGTCCTTCGCGCGGGAGTTGTTGGGGGCTCCCTTGCCTTGGTTATCAATACGAAGCTTCCCCGTAGGGAAATCCGTACCTGGCTAATTGTTTCGTTGGGTGAGTGGCAGATACGCCCACCCGGAGCTTTTTGGGGGAACATAAGAGAGGGCGCCGGTAGGGTTGTGTGTCGGTAGGCTCATCAGGGGCCTCTCCCAGGGGTTTGTAAGTTGAGACGATTGTTGTTCCGACTATTTTCTTCTTACCCTTGGGAGGTCCTTCAGAAATGGTAATAAAACTATAATTGGAAAGCCTGTCTTCACAAACGGTCTAGCTCCTGAGTTGTCCTCCGACACATATAATCGGTTAAAAATCTTGTACTGTACATTAATTGAAAGGAATGGCGGTGCATGAGTCACTGAAGATTAGACAGGTTGTTTTATGATAGGTCTGTAAAGAAGACAGATCGCAGAAGGTGGTTTATTGTAATTAATGTGTTCACAACAAATTACAAGTTCACTATTTGGAACTACCTTGTGAGGAGTGAAGGTTAAGACAGTATCATTCTAGACCAGAACTAAGAATTTATGGAGGGAAAGTGTGGCATGTTGTTGATCATATACTGTATGTGGGAAAAGTTAACTGTTGATCAGCCTTTTGAAAAACTCAGTTCCAATAGATTAGTCTTGTATCTTAAGCTTTTGTGAGTAGAGTGGTTGCTTTTAGCATTTGAAATGTTGTTTCTCACACACCTGATAAAATACAAAGTTATGAACAGTGAGCAGGTTTTTCTGAAGTCAGAGTTCAGAGATGGATTGGAGTGTTAGTCAAATGATATCAGTTGTTTGTGTTCCTTAGAGATCAGTTTTACATGGGAAGTTTTCTTCTACTGTATTTTTGAAAAAAGCCTTGGAGAAGGTTCAGAGGGATGTAGGTTGACATTGCATTGACAAACATGGATGTTGTGTGGGCATCTGAGTAATAATCTGCCTAATGGTCTGCTTTTTTGTTGTGTAATAGGATGTTTCTAAATAGAATGTTTCATGTACGTAAGTGTGATGTTATTCTTGCATATTCAGATATCACTAACAAAATCAGGTGTGGGAATCTGGATACTGTTTAAGCCACATTTCTGTAAGAGTGTTTTAAGTGTAATTTTTTTTTTATATATAGCTTTGTACATTGTGATGGTTTGCTCTCTGGTATGTAATACCATATGTACCTGTGGTATTTGGATTGGCACATTAAATTTCAGTCTGTTACAGATGACAGTAAACTTGGTTACTGCTTGTAGGTGTCTACCCACCTCATTACAGTCAAGATATTTGTGAGTTGATCAAGATTCACATGACTAAAGAGTATTCAGAATTTACTTTTGGGAGAAAACAGCTAAGTGTCAAATTGGCTGCTTTGTAAAAACAGATGTTCTATTTTCTCTCACAGAACCAACACAAATATATAGATTTCTACGTACCCGCAATCTCATAGCTGTGAGTAACTATTAATCTCTGGCTTTAATTTTATAGAACCTTTCATGGCAACAGTGGATTGATTATTTTCCTTTCTATTACAGCCAATATTCTTGCACAGAACTCTCACTTACATGTCCCACAGAAATTCCCGAACAAATATCAAAAGGTAAATTCATTCAAAAAAGCACCTTGTTTCATATGTTAAAGACCTTTCCTCTTCCAATAAATGAGGTGATAATGAATAGAAATGTGTATATATAGTATAAATTTTAATTATATCTGGAACTGGGATGAAATGTCTTGTGGTCTTCATTTGGAAATAAACTTAACTACACAACTTGCAGATATGTAATGGAGGTTTGATATTGTCATGTATTATAAATTGCCATTTGGTTTGGTGTGCAATATGATTTGTCTTGATTGCTACTTTGTTGCTATTTGGTAATGAAAACATCAGCCATGTACTGGTAAAAATGTTAAAGGTCACATTTCACAAATAAAACATAAGCACACAAACTGATAATACTGATACAGTATTTCAGAGTGTGTGCTGATTGACATTGACTAGAACATGTCCTCTAATTGTTATTGCCTGTGTTGCTACATTATAATTTATAATACTTAATTGATTGATGCTTTTTATTCATTATGATGCATGTCACTTATCCTTGTAAAATGTGTGTGTTTAGCAAGGTCAGAGAATTTGGCATTCATAACCCCCAGTTGTCTATTTTTGAGTTTTGTAATGGGTTTACTAATCAAGATACACTCCAAAATGAACTACCTGTAGCTTGAAGTTCTTGCAGCATGTTTTTCTCTGACATAAGCAACAAAGATTAATTTTATAATTTAGCTTGAATGAAATCAGTGGTGCAAGACATTGTTTGAAACATATGTCAGAAATTATGAAAAGACTGCAGGATAATTAAATGTTAAAACCTAAACACTTTGAAAGGATGGAACAGCTTTAGGAAAGAGGAGAGGGCAGTGCAGTGGGATATTGCTCCTCAAACATGTAAAGTTTTGTTGTCAACCATTAAATTGAATTATTCTGTACAGTTACTTAAAATAAATCATAAATCAACACATTTAATTCATATGAACATGTTTGTTTAGTTGTAAAAGTGTATAGTAGAATAGAATTCAGATCTAGGAGAATCAGTCACAGGAAATTTTGAAGAATTAGATGAGTTTATGTGCAGAGTAGTGTGTTTGCGAAGGCAAATGCAGCCTTTGAGAATACTTCAAATAGATCTTCATCTTTTTATTCAGAAATATTTTGAACTTCTGATGCTCAGTTTAGTTTTGCTGTTTTACTTGTCAGTGACAGGGAGAATACCCAATACGCCATGTCACTGACAAATAATTAATCTTTCCTTTTAAAAAATCTATTTGTTTCCCTGTAATGGTGTTAGTGAAAGAGTACTGGCTAATAAAAGACTTAACACACATCAGACTAAATATATTTTTTCTCTAACACTGTCTTGCATTGGCACAGTTATTGGGATATGTTCAACATTATATAATTATATATGTTCAACATATTTAATATTCTATTGTGTCCTTATGAGGTTCTGACATGCAGTTTAGGGAGGAAAGAAGACATATATATGTCTCTTTAAATTGTAGTTAACTGCTGGAGAATTGGGACATATTGTATTCTGCTTTAGAAGAGGGTCTGGATTCTTACTTTTAATCCTGAAGCTATACTTGCAAATGGTCAGTTGATTGGCAGAGTTGTGGCAAGCAATTTGAAAAAGTGGTTCTTTTTCATGTATGCTGAAAATGACCAGAAAAGTAAAATGATGGACATGAGATCTTCATATGATATTAAAAGACAACGGCTAGAATCCAACTGCTTATGCATAAATGAAATTACATAAGTCATGGTGACAAATTTTCACTGATAAACAAGGTGCTGCTTGCATTTCTACACAAGTGCTCAGGAATGCAACAATCCGTTCATTAAATTACCATTAATTGACTGTTGAAGCTTAAGACATTTCACTTACAAAATTATAAATGAACAGTTGGACTTTGGCTAACATTAAATGTTGAAGTATAGTCATGAACAAGCAAGGTAATGGATTAGAGGTTGCAATTCTATTACAGATCAACAGCAGTTGGTTATTTTTGCAAACCATAGTTTGTAATGAATAACAATACATTGTGAGGTTTTTTCCAGCATTTATTCCACTTTTTTATAATGGAGCATACTCAAGGTGACTCACAGTAAAATTGTGAATCATGAAATGTAAGGAGTTGTTAAAATGCTAAGAATCAACAGTAAAAACAAAGGCGTGAAATTAAGAGAGTGCTTGCTAAAATACATTTGCCTTCAGCACTTGGTGGAAGGCAGGAAATGAGGGGTTCAGGCAGACCTCTATAAACTGTTCCATAGTCTGAAAGTTACATTGGTAGTTGAAGTAAGTCTGATGGCAAGGGGTTCCCAGGAATGTTCATATGGGTGAAAGCTTTCTGATTCCAGACTCTTTAAAACTATAGAAATCAAAGCAGCACCTTTGATACAGTTTAAGAACAAATTGGTAACCAATACTATTGATAAAAGATTGCAGTGATTATCTCCACCTCACGGCCACTACTGAACACGGAGAGCTGCATTCTAGACAAATGGCAATCTGTAGACCGTTGGTTCTTAACCTTGAGTCCCCATATGTATTACAACTCCCAGAAATCCTGTCCAGCACAGCTAGTGGTGAAGGCTTTTGGAAGTTTTATTCCAAGAATATCTGGGGACCCAAGGTTGGGAACTAGTGCTCTAGATTGCCTATAGAGGCAGCATTATGAGTAGCATGTGTTGATTACCTGAACCTAAGGATAACTGATTTGAAGTGCAACTTCAGAGAAGGTTACAGATGCTATCATATGGCGTGTGTTTGGGAATTGCCCATTGCTCCCATAATTTAATTCAGGATGAACACTGAATTCTGGTGTACTGTATTCCCAGATCTGCTGCATCAGCAAGATTGCAGTGCTAGGAGAAAGTGATTGCACATCCCTCTCAACATTGTTTCTCCATCCAAAAATAACTTCCTCTCATCTGAATTGAATGACATTTTTTTCACATATATAGTCCATTATTTTACTTAGTTGACAGTTTGGAGCTTATACCGTCTCTCCAGGATCAGATTATCCTTCATAGGTCATTTATAAGGGCCAAATATTGTTACCTTTCTTAAATCAAGTCTGAAAACCAAATTGAAAAGATCTAAATAATTGCTATCCAACAAAACCTGGACCCGACCCAGTTCATTTCCCAGTGAGACATAAGGAAATTTGGAAACCCAAGGGTATTTTCAGAATTGTGTCACATTCCTTGGTATTATCAGAACTTTAGCTACCTCAGAGTCATTTGCCCATGTTACAAGTCAAATCTTGTTCTGACAGATTTTACAAGTCTCATTAGCCAGAGATGGAATACATAGATGATGAGCCTTGTATCTTCAAGAATCTTACTCACACTATAATGTGGAAACTGTATCAATAGAACATGACTGGAATGAAGCAATTTCAGCTCTGAAAATAAATGTAGTCTTAGGACGGATCTGAGTTAGTTTACCAGTGAAGTGTCTTGCATACATCTCTCAAATCTGAAGTAGATTTTCTTTGTCTAGGATGTAACAAACCTCTAATGGTCTGGGAGAGTTTTGAAATATTTACAGTACTATATTATTTCATCATAGTTTCAGCATGAGACTAGCTGTTTGTGCTATACGTAGTCTTTACAAGACAGTAGAAAATCACTCCAGGGTTCTAGGTTGGCACCCTGGAGCATTTCCCTTTTCTAGGAATATAGCTAGGTGCTATCAGGTGTGTTACCCACACTGGCCTGGAAATCCACTTGGAGGCATCTGGAAAATGTTTGCATTCAGAACTTCCAAGGACAGATTATTTAATTTTCTGGGAAAGTGAGAGGATATTTGTAGCCCGAATCTAACCAGGTGGCAATCTATCCATGATGGGAGCCACATCCCAATGTCATCATTCAAAGATCTGTTTTCCTTCCTTAATCACATTCACTTTAAGCATGTGATCTATCACATACAATAAGCAGGTGCAATCTGTAACAACCTATAGTTATGATGGTAGGCATGAATTCCTGAGTTGTACCAGATAAAGCAACCGTGGTATGGTTATTAAAGTTACTTCAGTACCCTGCTTAGTTCAGGCAGGGTGTTGATGGAAAGGAGGATTGACAGGCTTTTCAGGTATAAAATGTTGAATGCTGCCAAAGTACTGGATAGAGACCCTGGAAAAGAAAAGAGAACTCCAGTAGGCTAGTGCTATATCAAACACTCCTCGCCAAATCTGATGGCTAGAATTAGGGAAGATTTACACTTTTCCATTCTCCAACAAGATTTTGTGACTAGTGGACCGTCTCATTCATAATCAGATCTGAATTAAAGTTACTTTCCTGCTCAGTGAGCTTGATGCTCGATCTAGTAGGTTCCTGGTTTGGTTATATGGATTTCTAATTTGTATTTTCCTAAAGCATTTTTTGCAGTTGTATGAAATATTTTAGTTTGCAAAACTCTTATGAGATCTATGTGTTCTGAAAAGTAGGATAACAATCTTATTAAAATTTCAGATCACGTTCTGCCTGATAGATGTTTACTATAAGTGCCCAGACAGCTCTGCTTCCCAAATGTATCTACAACCTAAGAACATTTTAAAAAAATCTTCAACATCCTGAAATGTGGAGGGGGAATACTAAGAAGGAATAAAACCAAGGCAGATAAAAAGAATTTTTAAATAATCAAATTGATTTAAATCACGATTTAAATTTTAGAAACACTTTTTAAAAAATGTAGTTCGAATTTACCCTGACTAAAACTCCACATAACTGCAGATTTAAAAAAATCAAACAGAGTCGAAGGCAAGAATGAACAAATAATCATAAACTATTTTTTTAAAACACTAAGGCAGCAAAAATACACATTATGCCAATGTGTTTACCTTCTGTTTACCTTGATTTCTTTAGAGAAGTAAATCTTCAGTTCCTGAATTTTGACAGAAAAAATAGTTGAGGAAGATTAAAAGTAAAATCATGGTTTGTTGCTTAATCTAGCAATACAAAATACCTCTTAATCATGATTGATTTCCTGGACATAAGGAAGCTTCTTGACTTCACTTGAGAGTACAAGGTACTACAGTGGGGTCTCGACTTACGAACGGCTCAACATACGAACGTTTCGACTTATGAACCGCTCTCATAGGAATATATGGACTCGACTTACGAACTGAGATTCGAGTTACGAACTCTTTTTTTCCCTTTTTAAAAAAGCTAAGTCATCTTAGGTTAAAAGGAAAAAAGAAACAGAAGGCAGAAGGCAGAATAGCAGGTTCCCATTAGTTTCTATGGCCGAAAAGAGCAGATACGGATTAAATGGTTTTCAATGCATTCCTATGGGAAATGCAGATTCGACTTAAGAACTTTTCGACCTGAGAACTGCCTTCCAATACGGATTAAGTTCGTAAGTCGAGACCCCACTGTAGTTTTAAAACATGCTGCAATGTAAGCATCCTTCAGTCTCAAGAGACTATGGTAACATGCTCTGAATAAAGGACTTGGAACAGTGTCTAGTGTGGCTGAGAAGGCCAATTTGAGAGTGACAATCCCTTCCTCGCTGAAGACAAATACAATCTGTCCCCTTTCCATCTCCCTGATTTGGCTGGTTTGGGGACTGCCTCTTTGCCTCGGCCTGCTGAACAAGGGTCTCTTCAAATTGGGAGAGGCCGTGATGCAACGCCTGGCTCCAGGCTGAACACTCGGATAGCAGGGTTCCCCATCCGTTGAGGTCCATTCCTAAGGCCTTCAAATCCCGCTTGCAGATGTCCTTGTATTGCAGCTGTGGTCTCCCTCTGGGACGCTTTCCCTGCACTAATTCTCCATACATTCTTTTGGAATCTGACCGCCAGCCGTTCTCACGACATGCCCAAGCCAACGTAGATGTTGTTATGTTGCATAGATATTTTCATGTTGCAGTTTAAACAAGTTATTTACAACCCAAAAAGCAGCACAGAGCCTATAAAAAGCCCGTGCTGCTACTTTTAAATTCGATCCATCACTTTATATATGTCCCTATGCCTAATTTGATTATTTGAACATTATCTTCCATTTTAAAAAGGAGGTTGACATTTCCTCCCTGGGCCCAACTTAAATATTATGTGAATTTCTTCCAACTTGGAAAATCATATTCTTACCAAGGTGGATTTGATTTAAATTATGATTTAAATTTTAGAAATGGATTTTTTAATGATTTAATTCAAACAAGTGATTTTTTATTTAAATCTATTTGATTTTTTAAAAAATCATTGATTTTTATCTACTCTGATTTTTACCCTCACAGATGAAAGTATCTTCTAGTTAATTTCAGCTTCCCTTATGAAAAGTGTGGGAACTGATATTTGAATCTTGACAAATCCCATGTAGGCCTGCTGAGGAAAACAGGGGTTTTCCCCCCCATTTTTGTAATTTTTCATGACTGATTAGCAGGCAGATGCCAATTTTTCTAGTTATTTCTATATGGAAATGGATGTAACTCATCTGCTGTTACCAGAACCAGGTCCTTCTGAAGGTTTTATTCCTTGCTTCATCCCAATATCTGGTAAAGGTTTCTAGATTACTTTGACATATGAAAACATGCTGCTGAATCTGTATATTAATTAGTATGGTGTTAATGTTGACATGAGCTCTTTCAAAATACATTGTAGAATGCTATATTTAAGTTACAAAGTTTTAGAACTCAAATTAATCTTTTTTTAAATATGTGTGTTCATACTTAAGGCAACATATAGGTGGATACAATATTTTAATTTAATTTTGTTTGTTCTTAAATCAGGAATGCAAATAGTTTTTAGAAATAGCTGTGACCAGGAGAAAAAAGCATAATATATTCAGATATGACTGTTGCATAGTTAATTACTAGCATTTTGCATAATATTGTGAAATGCTTCACTTTTTGGTGCCTGGGACTTTTCTCTGCCTGCAGAAACGTTGTTGGAAGGAATCTATGTGAAAAAAATTGTACTACATAATGGAAATCAGTGAAATTTCAGAAACCAACTTTTATTACAGGAAAACTTTCAGAGTAGACGGGATGCTGACGAAAGTAGAGAAAACAAAGGGAGAACACGACTTGCAAAGGTAACATTTGTTTTATCAACTGATGCATTTCAGTGTTTCAGTAATGTTTGAACTGCCATAGATACATAACCGAATTAAATATTGTCCATGCCAAAATAATTTTTGCAGCAGTGTGACATGAAGTATAATGTAAGGCTGATGATAAATTTCCATCTGCTTCAGTAATAAAATGTTTAAAACCTAATTCTTTTAGAGGGGTGTTTATTTCTTTTCGTTCATTCTCTGGTAAAGCTGTATGTAGCAGCTTCAATTTGGATGAAATGAACTGTTTATATAAGGTTTATATAAGGGAGATGCATACACAGAAGGAGATTTCTGTGTGTATTCCCTTTCTGGTTGGAAGCTAAACATTCAAACTAGAAAGAATGACTGGTTATTTGTTTTGTTTGTTGTTGCTTTTTTTCTTTTTGAAATTTCATTGATTTCCATTATGTAGTCCAATCGTCATGTATTGTGAAGGGTATGCATTGGGATGAGTCCTGCCCTTTACTGTTGCTTTGCAGATGAGAATCTGCTACTTCACATCATAAGTTGCCACAGCATATTATTAAAAATAGCATTGTTACATTTAGGCCAATGAATATGTCAAAATCTTGACTTCTTCAGAAAGTACTGACACACACATTTTTAATTAAACATACAATTTTTTCAGCTTGTTGGATCATATCATAAGACTATGGTCTGAGTCCCTGGGAAAATATAAATCAATCATCTCCCTTCATGTTTCTATTTATTTAATATTCCAGTGTTTCACAGTGAAAAACATAGTTTATTTTATCCATAAGGTGTCAACTTGTAGGTGACAAGACTTGAAAAGCAGAACACAAAACTACTGGAGAAAGAGGTACTCAGTTGTCACAGTCTTCTCTGCAACCTAGCCATAGTTCAGATTAAGATTTTAGCATCAGACAATTTTCTCTCTGCTTTGGAGGAGTTAGTTAAAATTGTGAAGGTCAAGGATTAAATCTCATTTAACACTAGAGGTAGGAGTGGGGCTTCCCCCCCCCCCATGGCTCTATAACTGCACCACTGGGCTTCTGAACCCACCAGATTAGGTTTCAAGAGCATGTGGGGCAGGAGGAGCTAGTGAGAATTGTCCTTCTCTTGTGGCCAGAAGTTGCTTTTGCTCTTAGAAATGTGCCATTGGATACTGCCATAATAAATTGGTTTTTTAAAATTATGTCCTCTGCTCATTCATATTATTTGCTCAGTGGGGTAGTTCAGATTTGCAGTTCAGGAAAGCTTCTAGACGTGGTCTTGATCCTGGATGACCAGGCATTTATCATAGACATAAGTAGTTTGGCTCATATGGTAAACTAATGATGCCCACTACTCAGGATGGTAGAGATGGCTGTCATTCTTTAGTTAATGTCACATATAGACGCTTGTAGTACCCTCTATGGAGGGTTGCTTTTGAAGTGTTCAGAAGCTTCAGCAGCTGCATTGGTTCTCAGTTTCTCAGCCCAATTAAAAATGCTGGTTGTGACTTATATTTCATATGCATTGGGGTATGTAAGGTACCAACTCCTGTAGCTTGAGTCTGCTAAAATGTTAAGATCACGAACAGAGGTACTTCGTACATTTTCCAGCATTATAGTTGACATCCCACAGTAGAGAACCTTTTCAGCAGCTATAACTAAGTTCAGAATTTCTAGCATAGAGATTCATCTCATCCATTCTGTTGTGTTCTTTTGCTGCAGCATGAAGGTCTTCCCATTTGGAAGGCTGTCAGTTACAGATTTTTACAGTGGAAATAATTATATAGCTGGCTGATGTGAACATTGTGCTTTTGGTTTCCTTAAGTAATGTTTGTTTTTTGGCAGTTTTGTTGTATATTTGTTTAATAATTTTTTTCTTTGATAGCCAACTTGAACTTTCTGGAAAGGTTAAATATATATGTTTAAACACATACCTTTATTTAAACTATTTTACTATATAGCTCCATTTTAAAATATAAACTTTATAAATTCACTGTGTAACACAGCTGAATCCATGATTGTTCTCAAATGAATAAATTTGTTAGTCCCAACTAAAGTGAAACTGATTACTTAGCAGCTGAATAATGAGTCAGCGCTTAATGTAAATGCCATTTATTCAGTGAGTCTGCTTTAGTGGGGCTGAATTCAAATTCTTGAGTTACGACTGCTAGTCTATGAGAAGAAAAAAGAGGATGGGGTTAGGCATAGCATATGCCTTTTGAGGTCAAGCACATATAGTTAGGACAACAGAAATCTGTTACATAATGCTGTGCCTGAAACTTGGGGCTGTAGTATGGCATATTGTCCCAAAGAATAGAATGTTGCTCCATACATCAGGACAGAATAGACTTGGTTAGCTTCCAAGATGAGTTCACTTGTGTGCTTTTAGTAGTGCAGAAAAACCTCTAAAATTTTAACCTGTCAAACAGAGCAGGTTTAGGTTTCATTCTGCATCAGTTTAAAAAACTAAATTTTCCTTCCTTGCTTCTGGAGGTTCCTGGTCCAAAAGCTTGTGCTACAACTGTGACAAAATGAGGAAAAAGGTGTGAAGTATGTACTTGTGATTAAATGAGCCCTTGTTGATCTGATCACAAGCCAATTGCTGGTCAATTGGATGGATGCTTTTAGGAAGTCAACGTGTGGAGCATTCCTCTTCTGTTTTTCTATGCCTTTGTCCCCAGTTATCTCCTGGTAATTAATAATTCAGTGGCATATTCCCTTCATATGGAAGCATGAATAGGTCTAGCCCATTTTTTAAAAGCAAAAGAAAAGCATGCTCCTTATATACCGCCCCATAGCACTTCAAGCACTCTCTGGGCGGTTTACAAGTTAATTATGCAGGCTACACATTGCCCCCCCCCCCAGCGAGCTGGGGACTCATTTTTCCGATCTCAGAAGGATAGAAGGCTGAGTTAACCTTGAGCCAGCTACCTGAGAATGAACCCTGGGTCGTGAGCATAGTTTTGGCTGCAGCACTGCGCCACGAAGCTCTGTATATGTTTACATTGCATGAAATGTTAAGTGCATATTTTGCAGCTTAAGTATGGGTAGATGAGGTTTAAACTTATTTATTTGATTTTATTCTAAAAAGTAGCCAGCCATGATTTTTTTTTCCCAGCAGTGAAGGTGATTTTTTTTAAACAATAAAAACTAGGTGGAGGAAGTTTCAAGCATTCCTCACTGCCTGTGCTGCTTTACCAGAGATGAAACACAAAAGGAACTTAAACTGCACAATATATACCGAACATACTATGGAGTTTAATTATAAGCTAGTAGCCATCATATAAGATGGAAGGAATAAGTTTTTTTTCAACTTTTTTCATACCATCCATAATTTCTATAAACCTGAATTATATAAACATGAAACAAGATTACTCCCAAATAGAGTCCATTAAATGAAGTATTGTTTCAATAGGCCCATCATTTTGAAATAAATGGTCTCCCACTCTAATTTTTGCACTAGTTTGTGGGAGACAAGTAATATTCTCACATTTACTCTGTATTTTGAAATCATTGTCTTTATGATATGCTTGGAAAATCAGAAGTGTTTTTTTAAAAGCGTATTTGTAATTTTTGTTGAACAAATACACGTGTTTCATTACAATTTTGAAGAAAACTCTAGACTTAGTCTCCTTCTCATAAATAGCTTATGAATGATCTTATAATGCCTTTGAAATTGTCTGGCTTGGATGAACCTCCTGAGCAAAGAAGATCCATAATTATATAGGAAACATCTGTGGAAAAACTTCATTCTTTATCCTAACTTTGCCAGTAAGATTAACAGTGAAGCAGTTAAAGTTCTTATTTATTTTCTTGTTCTGTGCTGCTATTCAGAAAGTTCAAAACAACTAACAAACTTTATAGATTACAGATCAATGTGTAGATTTAAAGTCTATCTTTGTACGTTCTCGTTAAAATGCAGCCTAATCAATTGACAGGCATCCCTGTGTTTTTCACAGCGTTTTGAAGACTGTTTATTCCAAAAGGGTTTGGTTATATGTGTCAGTTAATATCTATACGTTTGGGTTTTAGCTGCTGATTTTTTCTCTTGGGTTGATTGTTTTGTGTATTTATTTATGTGTGTGTATGTGTGTGTGTTTGCAAAGGTATAACTTTTAAGTATAACTGATCTACAGTGGGGCTTTTAAATATGTGATAGGACATAAATATCCACTTATCATACTTCCATTAGCAAAGTGTTGCAGAACAGGGCCATCATGGATGACCATAGCATTTTGTACAAGTCTGTGGAATGAATTGGTTCTTAAGGTATCTTGGTCTTAAACTGTTAAAGGTAGTCTTCTCCAATTTGGCGCTCAACAAATGTGTTATCCTGCAGTTCTCATGTTTCCTAGGTAGCATGGGCAACTGAAGCAGATAAATTGCTTCTAGATGCAATCATCTTATTATCCAGGGTCAGTACCTTGTTCAAATGTACTCAGATGTGAGCTTGATTCTTAAGACAGCGTGCAGCAATAACATTTTATTATCACTTTCAACCAATAATACTTCTGTTTGTACTGGTTATTATGGGAGGAAGATAGGTTAACTCATGTGAGTGTTCTAAATACAGGTATTTAAAAAATTGTTCCTCCTGGTAACATTATTTCACCTGGTAAGATATAATATATTTGGATATACAGTGGTGCCTCGCATTACGACATTAATTCGTTCCATTGAAATCGTAGAACGAAAACGTCGTAATGCGAAATTTAAAAGCCCGTAGAAACGCATTAAAACCCGATTAATGCGTTCCTATGGGCTTGAAACTCACCGTCCAGCGAAGATCCTCCATAGTGCGGCCATTTTCGCTGCCTGTGCAGCGAGGAATCTGTCCCAGAAAAGAGCGGGGAGCCTTTTTTTCTTACCCGGTGGCCATTTTGAAACCGCCGATCAGCTGGCTGAAAATCGTCGTTTTGTGAGAATTGGTTCCCGAAGCAGGGAACCGATTGTCGCAAAGCAAAAAAAAAAATAACCCATTTAAAACATCATAAAGCGATCGCTTTTGCGATCGCAAAAAGTTCGTCGTGATGCGATTTCGTCGTTAAAGGAGGCGCTCGTCTTGAGAGGCACCACTGTACTTTTCTTTGTTCTTGGATAGGCGTAGAATATCTCAAGAGCCATAAACACAATATATAATGTACAAAATTGTAAATCTCAGTTTTATTTTCTTTTATTTAGTTTGTCTGCTCATCTGCAACTCACCTTTACTGGTTTCTTCCATAAAAATGGTAAGTATTTCATTCTATTTTTTTCTGTTGCATTTCTGTATCCAGTAAATTGAATGACTGTTTACTGTTGCCTTCCCTTTTTAGCGGGTTGTAGCCATTTCAAGTTTCTACTGTTCATTAAAGTAATAAAATATTATAGGCAATCTAACAAAGTCATTGTTAGCTATAATAATCAAGATCAAAAAAATTTGTTAAATTATTCTACACAATAATGTGATGTGCTTTCTTAATAAATTGCATAGAACTTAATAAAAACTTTTGTAGATGCCTTGATCAAAGTGTTGCAAAGACTTTTAAAAATTTGTTAATGGCACTCATGAAGAATCAATAGCACTCTGGAGTTTCTTGATCAACATTTGCTGAAACTGAAAATGTAGGTTACCAAGCTTTCTGAAGCCTAGTTTTGTCACCATCTCAAAAAAAGGTTACCTTGTTTCTCTTTCCACATTTTTCATTGCAGATAACCTATTTATGATATTATCAGTGTTGTAACCTGCATAATTCTTAAACCTCAGATTTTGTATTCAAAAAGCATGTAGTTCTAAATGCGCTTCCTAACTCATCTGGACAGCTTTGAAGTAACCAGACATAACATGCATGAAGTTGTAGTAAAAAAAACTATTAAACTGTTGTACTTAAAAGGATGTATGATATTTCATGGCTCCATTTTGATGCATTTAAAAATAGATTAGTAAGGACTGTTGAACTCAAGTTGAAGTTCAGTACTTTAATCTGTGAGTGCATTTTCTTTTTTCAAGGCCACATTTGCCATTCATGAAACATCATTGCACTGTTACTACAGTTGCACAGATGTGCACCTTTCTTTTATCTGTAGAGCTGAATATTCTGCAGATTTTAAGGATAACATTAGTCATTGTCATTATATATTTCAGTTCTCCAAATGTTCATTCCATGTTTTCATGAGTTGGAATGACAGGAATCAGAGTACAAGCTTGCTTTCATACCATATTCTCATGGTTTAACTCTTTTTGAAAGTGTCTTGTGTGGGAAGCATTTATTCTGGTTTATTGTTATAGATATTGTTTGTGGAGTCTTGATTTAGGGACTCTGCATTTGTAAGTATCATATGAGTGACAGATTTCTGAGTATTTGTTAACTTTTCTGATATGAAATCATCCTTGTCTAAATTTTTCAGCACTCATGGTCACTAATAAACCCTTTCCATGCTGAATTCTTTGTATGTAGAGTCGCTGAAGGAAGATGCATTATCATTACTATAACTTGAAAATGTAGTTAGTTTTAGTGGACTACTTGTATGTTAATCACAGAATCATGAAATAATGGAGTTGGGAGGGGCCCAATTCCAACTTGAGAACAAACTCCTGCTCAACACAGGAATCCAGATCAAAATTTGTTTGTTTGTTTGTTTGTTTGTTTGTTTGTTTGTTTATTTAACTTATATGCCGCCCACTCTACCCAAAGGTCTCTGGGCGGCTTACAACAATTAAAATTCAATTAAAATACAATAAAAGATAAAATGATTAACTTGACTTCTAACTTAGACCCAAGTCCCTATGGTCCTTGCCTGCTGCTGCCGCCTGCCACCATCTTCACAGGCAGCAGACCCAGCTTCCCTTCCAGGAACTGAGAAGGGAATTTGGCCTGCTGGCTCTCTGCATGTGCCAGCCTATTAGCTGGGCAGTGCATGAACACTCTTGAGTCCCAAGTCTCTAACCTATGTGGGGCCAAAGATTCAGCAACTTGGACTTAAGTCCCAAAGACTCACACTCGGATTTGAGACTCAGACGCAAAGACTTGCTGACATCCCTGGTCAACAACCCCACTGCTTTATTTTGCCCTATATGTGAGATAATCTGAAACATTGGCATAGGTGCCTTCAGCCTTTTGAGATGTGGAATTCCATGAAAATGCCCATCAATTTAAAAGTTGTTGATTTATTCGGAATCAGAGCCATTTCATCATCTCATTGTAAGTATTTTAGGGCCTGATTTAGCTCAGCTTGGGATCTGAGACCTTTCCCTTTTGTGGGCTTATAAATGCCATAGAAATATTTTCATAAGCTTCTAATGAACTTACTTTGCATTTTTAAAGTTCATAATAACCCTTGTGAAATTACCCTGTACAGGTTGCAGTAAAAAAAAGAGAGTTTTGATACATTTAATTGTACATAATATCTACAAGTGTCAAAGTTGGTGACCGGTTTTTGAAGATGGTGGCCAAACTACTAAACAAAGGCTAGGACTTTTTAAATTCAGCATTCATTTTTGTGTAGAAGTCGACCAGTGTACCTAACTTGTTGAATTTCAGAAAAGAGCCTTAATTTAATACTGAGTGCTGAATTCCTGTGAGCAGCCTCGTTTGATGTTAGATTCCACCTCCTGTGCTCTTGTTCCTGTAACTGTATTGGGACAAGTGCACTGTGATGGACTTCCTAATTCCATAAAAATTTATCTTCCTCCTCGTATAAATTTAGTTGTATTTTAAGTAGTGTGACTGCAATTGATACATACACTAGTGTGAAAATGGTGAATATTAAATTCCAGTTGGGTTCTTTTCTACTTGTTTTCTCATCTTACTGAATCACAGTTGCAGAGCTAATGGTTGATTTGAGAAAGTCCGGGACAGTATGCCTGTGGGGTCCATAAGTTTCCTGTCAGCTTATGAAAAATAGATGAGCATCCCTAATATTTCATAGCCTTGTGTAGTTTTCCTGGCTAGATTATATAGATGTCTTGCTACTGCTGTATTCTAAAACTTTTTCCTGCTGTGAACCCTTTTAGATAAGCCATTGCAAAATTCAGAAAATGAACAAAGTTCTGTAAATCTGGAAGTACTGCTTGTAAAAGTCTGCCACAAAAAACGAAAGGTATGTTTAAGCGCACTTTAGGAATCCTAGAAAGCAGAATATAATAATTTCTTCCTTTCATAATTGGGATGGTATAGGGGAAATCCTGATACAGTAAGGATGTTCTCCCATGCAGAGAAGTTCATTATTTCCTTATACTCAGGCTTTTCCATATATATCTTCCTTTTGCTCTATTCCTGTTATTTGACATCCCTTGATGTTTGAAGGTATTACTTTGGATGAAGCCAAATTATTTCAAGTTAAGCCTGCTTGGTTTTAATTTTGTTTCAGGTGTTGGGTCAAATTCTGTGAAGAGGGCATTAAAAATTCGAGAGTGGGAGGGTTTTTTTCTGATTTCTTCTTCAAATTACTTTCTGCTTTTCAAAACTGCTTCCCTTGCTGGCAGAAGCAAGGTACCTGTGGCTGCTGATACCATTAAAATTTTGAAGTCTTTTTTCTTTGAGACTTTTTAAAAAAGTAAAAAGGTAAAGTAGGTAAGATTTGCTTTGGGCATAAGTTTATAGCAGTTTGTTTGTTTGTTTATCATGTATAGACAAGGGTCTTCCACATAACTGTCAGTTTTCTGCCATTTTTCCAACTTTGAAGCTGCATGGTGGTGAGAATTGCTTGGAAGAAATCTGCATGATCTCTGTCTAGTTCTACTGTGTCAAAGTTGATAGGAAGGCTTGCACATGGATCATACTTCCCAGGGGGCAATAGCTTAAAAAATGCTACCATTGCTGGCAAAAGCAGGGTGGCTGTGGCTACTACCATGATTGAGTTTTTAAAAGGTTTTTCTTCTTTGAGACTAAAAAGGTTAGAAGTGAGAAAGAATGTAAGGATCCTGCACAGAACCTGCTTTCAGCATTGTTGTTGTTTAGTCATTAAGTCCTGTCCGATTCTTCGTGACCCCATGGACCAGAGCACACCAGGCCCTCCTGTCTTCCACTGCCTCCCGGAGTTGGGTCAGATTCATGTTGGCAGCTTCGATGACACTGTCCATCCATCTCATCCTCTGTCATCACCTTCTCCTCTTGCTTTCACACTTTCCCAGCATCAGGGTCTTTTCCAGGGAGATTTCTCTTCTCATAAGATGGCCAAAGTACTGGAGCCTCAGCTTCATGATCTATCCTTCCATTGAGCACTCAGGGTTGATTTCCGTCAGAATGGAGCTTTCAGCATGGTCCAGACTATATTAAAGGAGCTATTCAATATATCATCAGGGCAATACCCTTTATCAAGCCAACTTTAGAAAGTCCTGTTTCAAATATGGTATTATACTGTTAGAAGGTGGCAAGGGGGAAATTGGCAGAAAAGCAAAAACAGATAATATCTTAGTGTCTTTATGCCTTGATTTCATCCTAGTTGTTGTGGAGGAGGGGCATAGCACTAACCATTCCTCTGGATGAAAAAGAAGTAGTGAGGAAAATTTGAGTCCTCCATTATTGCAAAAATAATATCTAGCTGTGAATTTTGGCTGTCGTCGTTTAGTCGTGTCCAATTCTTCGTGACCCCATGGACCAGAGCACGCCAGGCCCTCCTATCTTCCATTGCCTCCCGGAGATATGTCAAATTCATTTTGGTTGGTTCGATGATATTGTCCAACCATCTCATCCTCTGTCGTCCCCTTCTCCTCTTGCCTTCACACTTTCCTAACATCAAGGTCTTTTCCAAGGAGTCTTTTCTTCTCATGAGATGGCCAAAGTATTGGAGCCTCAGTTTCAGGATCTGTCCTTCCAGTGAGGACTCACGGTTGATTTCCTTTAGAATTGATAGGTTAGTTCTCCTTGCAGTCCAGGGGACTCTCAAGAGCCTCCTCCAACACCACAATTCAAAAGCATCAATTCTTCGGCGGTCAGCTTTCTTTATGGTCCAGCTCTCACTTCCATACATCACTACAGGAAAAAACCATAGCTTTGACTATTCGGACTTTTGTTGGCAAGGTGATGTCTCTGCTTTTTAGGATGGTGTCAAGGTTTGTAATCGCTTTCCTCCTAAGAAGCAGGCGTCTTTTAATTTTGTGGCTGCTGTCACCATCTGCGGTGATCATGAAGCCCAAGAAAGTAATATCTGTCACTGCCTCCATATCTTCCCCTTCTATTTCCCAGGAGGTGATGGGACTAGTAGCCATGATCTTAGTTTTTTTGATGTTCAGCTTCAGACCGTTTTTTGCACTCTCCTCTTTCACCCTCATTACAAGATTTCTTAATTTCTCCTCACTTTTTGCCATCAGAGTGGTATCATCTGCATATCGGAGGTTGTTGATATTTCTTCCGGGAATCTTGATTCCAGCTTGGGATTCCTCCAGTCCAGCCTTT